AGAAACCCTAGTTTTTTTTTTTTGCGAGAGAGAGAGAGAGCAAAACCCTAGCTCGATGTGTCGATGATGGAGTTAATAGGATTAGAATTGGCCGGGATGTAACGGGTCGGGCCTTAGTAACTTCTCGATCCGAATTTGCGATAAATCAACAAATGGGCCCTTTCTATAACTAAATAAGTTCATAAAACTAGTGTGCGCGTGTTTTTTAAACACTACATTTTAAATTTATTTCTCTCTAAATTTTAATACATTGAATTTAATTATTATATACTTAATATTAGAAATTGTATATATTTTTCTTTACTTAAAAAAAGATACAAGTTTTAATACATTTAATATAGAATTTATATTTACTCATTTATACTTAAAAATTTTTAACTTTTAATATATTATTATATATATTTAAAAAAGAATCCAAATATTAATACTTTAGTAAAAATTTTTAACTTTTAATATATTATTATATATATTTAAAAAAGAATCCAAATATTAATACTTTAGTGAAAATATTTTATGTTACAGTTTTTTAACAGTAGTATGAACATGACTCCAACAGCATAAACGTGTACTATAGCATGAGCCGACAGGGAATTCCTAACTTAGTTTGGGCTTTAAACGCGGCCCATGAGACCACGATGCTCCGCTCCAAATCAAACGCGCACGTTCAGGAATCATTTCATTCATTCGTTTGAATAATCGAATAAAAAAAACAATAAATAAAAAAAATAGAACAACAAAAGGAGTCGAGGACAGCACAACTCTCCTCCCGATCGTTGCTCGAGCGACCTTCCGCGGGAAGGAGCCAGCAGCCGCACTGTGAACCGGACCGCACCCCGAGCAACTGGACAGCGGGAGCTAAGGATTTCCGGATCGACATCGTATGATTCCCTTCGTTTTTTTTTTTTTATTTGATAATATGATTCTGATACAAATATTTTGAGATCTAGGATTGCTCTTCATGATCGTCGAGTCTAATTCACATGTTTATCTTTTTCTTCAGAAATTGGTATATTGGCGAGTGATTAGAAATGGATTAAGTTTCTCGATTGGTTATCTGATCCAAAACCTTAGATCAAATTTAGAGTACATTTTGATCCTCTTTAGCAAATTACTTGCCCATCTTGTGTAAAACAGTAAAAAAATCGCGCAGCGGAGTTCAGAAGTTCTCATGTACTACTAGGACAAGAATTTGAAGGGAAGGAAAATGCTTGTTTTTCTCTGGAGGGAAACCATATCCCACCCTTGACTGATGCACGCTAGAGGGAGAGATTGACGACACATGCGAAAAAAAAGAGAACAATACACACTCGTGCGAGCTATTTAATTTCTTTTTCGGGAACTTTCATTTGGCAAATTTATATGGTATAGTCTTTTATATTTCCATTTTGTTTAACAAGTTATGGGTTGTGGTGTTGACAATGTCATATGTTGGACATTGGATGTTGACGATCAGAGCAATGTAGTCCTTAACGTATGCTTTCCCCGCCATTTCTCTCATAGGAAGAAAATAGCGCATGTTCGGCCTTTCCCACTTAAGTTTGGCCCTTGACAAAGTCAATTTTGGCCAACCTTCCGCTGGACCGGACCATCATCTCCGATAGATTTTGCCATATTAAGTTTTAGTTTGATGAACAAAAAGTTTGTGTGAATTCTATTGTGATCAACCTCATGCCAACTGCTAATGAAGTTTCATTTCTGTCCTTCCTTCAGCGACATGAGTGAAAGCAGCGCAGTTGATACGTCCAAAGAGGTGGAAGATGCAAGTGCTTCAGTTAAGACTGAGAAACGCCCGGTTCCAAAACTCAATGAAAGAATTCTCTCGTCCTTGTCCAGGAGATCAGTTGCTGCACACCCTTGGCATGATCTTGATATAGGTTGTTACCTTAATATAGTACCATACCTTAGCATCTATAATTAATCTTAAATGAACTGTCTAACTGTATAAGTCTGCCTGTAGGCCCTGGAGCTCCTGCTGTTTTCAATGTTGTAAGTACCAAGCCACATGTTTTGCTATTTAGAAGTGTTTCGAAATCTCTAGCTGTTTGAATATTATTCAGATAACTTCCAGGTTGTATACTTGCATTACCAATAAAAAAACATTTGATTGTAATAACAAGTGTTTCTACCTGCCTTCTGCCTGTTTCATCTGCAAAGTTCCTATCGCGTGCGACAGTTTCTTGAAGTAGAAAGTATATTTTCAAGTAAAGTTTGCTACAGATCAAGAACATCATATTTTATTATTTCTCACTCTTTCTTTTTTAACTTACTAGATCGAGAAGGTTAACTGTTTGTGTTCATCTGGTACAGGTTGTAGAGATCACAAAAGGAAGTAAAGTCAAGTACGAACTAGACAAGAAAACTGGACTGATCAAGGTGACTGCAAAGTTTGATTTTACCTTTGTCAGATAAATCATTTAAGATATGAAATTATTTACTGTTATTGATTTTATTTTGCAAGCAAAAAATATGTCCTCAACAAGAATTAAAAAAAACCAAATTACAGGCAGTTACTGGAGTTTCACCTTCCTACTGGGAATTTTTTAGGAAAATTTCCTTTTTGGATGCTTATGCCTGTATGCAATTTTATTTTGTTGTTGGTCTCAGGTCGACAGGGTATTGTATTCATCAGTTGTTTACCCTCATAATTACGGTTTCATCCCCCGGACACTTTGTGAAGATAATGATCCAATGGATGTTCTGGTCCTCATGCAGGTAAATTGCTACTGCTACTTCTTAGCCATTTTTTGGCAGAAAGTTAATATCATTCATTGTTTTGCCGGTTTCTAACCCTTAAGATTCCTTTAAATTATATTCTCTCTATATCATATTAATAAAATTCATCCTTATGCTCTTTCCCAGCAAATAGTTTCTCCATTTTTGAGAAGGTTTCACAAAAGAATTAACGAAAGTATTATTACCATCAGTCAATTTCATACCAATCCTCTAAGTTGGTGACAAATGACTTGTATAAATAAGATATTAGTTGTCATAGAAAAGCTCAATTGCAGTAGAAAAATCTGATTAGCTACTTTCATAGTTTAGTGATTCAGTAGTTACATAGTTTAGTGTATTAAACCATGATACATGCATTTGTTGTCTCCCGTAAAAACCACATTGCCATGAGTGGTTCAACACGTAAATCCACCATCATAAGGAATAGAGGGAAGAAAGGATATGTCTACGAATCCACAGTTCGCGGATATCAGTGTTAGATTTAATTATTGCTGCTGTGAACTCCACCTCTTGCTGCTGCTGTCTTCACAGAAGAATGGATCAAGTGAGAAAAGGGCCAAAGTGAGAAGCAAGTATCTTATGCTGTGCTGTTGTTGAATTATTTTGGTCTGATTGGATCAATTCTAATCGGAACTAGACTTGGCCCAATCAGTCCACTTAAGAGGTCTCTTGGTTTGGTCAAGTGTTGATGGGACAAACCTACCTGAAACCTAAATTACTTAAACATCACTTCTCTGCTTGAAAGTAGCGGTGGTGGGAGCACCAACAGTGGCACTCATATAATAAATTTCTTTATTTTTTGCCTTTGTTTTTCTCTTTTCTCTTCTTTCATC